TGGCACTGATTTAGAGACATGCTCATAGTTAAATATTTTTGTAGTGATTATTAATGAAAACGTCCACCTGTCATATTAAACTACTAGGTATTATTTGTAATGTTAACATTTATCAACCCTGGTCTATGCTCACTGTTATTACTGTCACTACTGATTGGACTAGTACAATAAATCTAATTTTGTAGCATTTTATTGTGTCATTCTTCCATTACCGGAAGTGAGGGCTCGTACCATACGTTAGTTTCAGGCGCTTGGTTCTATTTGACAACTAGACCTTGTCCCGGGGACGTAACACTCAGCCATAGATATTGCAGACATGGATATCTCAACCATAGATATTGCAGACATGGATATCTCAACCATAGATATTGCAGACATGGATATCTCAGTCATAGATATTACAGACATGGATATCGCAGACATGGATATCGCAGACATGGATATCGCAGACATGGATATCGCAGTCATGGATATCGCAGTCATAGATATCGCAGTCATATACATATCAGACATATACATCTCAGACATGTATATCTTGGCCATAGATACCACAGACATGGATATCTCAGCTATAGATATTGCAGACATGGATATTGCAGACATAGATATCGCAGACATGGATATCTCAGCTATAGATATTGCAGACATGGATATCGCAGACATGGATATCGCAGACATGGATATCGCAGACATGGATATCGCAGTCATGGATATCTCAGTCATAGATATTGCAGTCATAGATATCCCAGTCATATACATATCAGACATATACATCTCAGACATATATATCTTAGCCATAGATACCGCAGACATGGATATCTCAGCTATAGATATTGCAGACATGGATATCTCAACCATATATATTGCAGACATGGATATCTCAGTAATAGATATTGCAGACATGTATATCTCAGCTATAGCTATTGCAGACATGGATATCAGTCATATATATCGCAGTCATAGATACCTCAGCCATAGATATCGCAGTCATGGATATATCAGCCATTGATATCACAGTAATGGATATATCAGCCATATATATCGCCATCATGGATATCTCAGCTATAGATATTTCAGTCGTGGATATCTCAGCTATAGATATTTCAGTCGTGGATATCTCAGCCATAGATATTGCAGTCATGGATATCTCAGCCATATATATCTCAGCCATATATATCGCAGCCATATATATCGCAGCCATATATATCGCAGACATAGATATCGCAGATATGGATATC